TTATACAAACAAATCAAGTCTTTAAAATTTAGGCACTTAAAAACTAGTAACTTTTTCCATGAATCAAGTCTGAGATCCTGAGGTTTAAAATGGTGTGACTTTTTTATGGCATAAAGTGCAATCCCTATTAGCAGCTTTCCTCAGCAGGTATCCCATCGCTCTGGCATCTCTAACATCTTGAGGTCTCCAAGTCAATCCAGGTTTCAACTTCACAGCTTCATGCCATGGCCTCTCTAGGCTTCAGTTTAGGGAAGTCATGCAAGTCATGTCTAAGAGTGGGTATTTTGTGATAAACATGCTTACTAGAGATTACTTTGTTAGTTTTAAGGTTTTTGTTTTAGATAATTTTAGAATTTCCATGAGATAAACATTCAGGCGGTGGTTCTTTGAGTGCTTTAGAATCTATTGTGAAGGATCCACTAAGCATTTACAACTGTAGTTTGTGGTTTTGACATTGAGGCTACCTAGGATTTTTCTTGCTTTGGTTGCCAGGGGATCTTCTGGTTTCTGTTGCAGTATTAATCAGCACTGAACTCAAACTCGTTCATCTGTAGAGCGAGGGAACTGTTAGTCATAGTTTTATTGTGTCCATGTATTCTTTTCATATTTGAAAACCACCCATTTTAATATTCAGTCTTTCATTATTAATGTCACTGATAATGGTATAAATATGCAGTCATGAGGAATTTCAGGAGATACTAGAACTAAATATTCTCAAGTAGAAACTGGAGATAAGTGGCATTCATGTAACAAGTAGACTTCTCTCCAAAGAATAAGGACTCCTGGGAAAACTCATATTGACAGCCCAATAGTCAAGTGTGTTTTACAGGAAGGAAAAAACCTTAGGTAAATATAGATGCTTTATTCATGAGAATGTCTAGTAAGGAGAGAGACACGAGGAAATAAAGAACCACACTAGTGACTTTCTTCTTGTTTATCACCATCAAGCATTGTGTGTCTTGTCAATCATTGCTCCTAAATAAGACCACAAAGCAAATTTGTATCAATAAACAGTGATGACTGTGTTCTGTGATTCTTTTATGAGTGAGAGCTTCAGTTCTGTGTATTCTTTTCACAGCTATATAATGATCCTCATGCTCTGTTTGTACTGTTAAAATGTATTCATTGGGGAAAAACAAAGTGTGTAAGTGAATACTTTTTTTGCATTGAAAACATTACTTTTACCCATTTCCTCTTTTCAGTGTTCTCATTTGCATTGTCATGTTGCTCACACAGCAGATTTTACAATTTCTTCACCACTGTGCATTTCTTTTCAATGTGAAATCAGGGTTCTGGGCACTGCTTGCTTGCCAGGAGAAAAATACTTCAAAATCAAGGCAGATCTCTTCACTTAGAAAAAGATTGATATTCTAATTCAGTGATGGGTCCCATGATTAAATACTAGTAACAGAATTCTTCAGGAAATTGGCATTCCACCTTTTCTCTCATTTGCAATGAAGTAGCCTTTGATTTCTGAAATTTCAAGTTGCAGCTCTTGGTTGAATCTGATAGTGAGCGACACCTAAGAATATTTCAGAGAATGTACATGTTTTTAACTAGTATCTCATGCATCACTGTGTCCTGAAACCCTTCTTCATTGTGAACATCAATATTCTTGTAGCTTCTGTTATCTGAAACTTGTCTGACATTACACTTAGAATTTTTGTTTTCTTCCTAGTGTATAGATATAGTCTGAAATGTAAAAATACCAAGTGAGTAAAACGTGGCAGGAAGGCCCTTGTGAGTATTTAAAGCAATTATGCCTATTGTTGCTGTTTCGTGAATTTTATTGCTCATGATGTCTCTGGTGATTTCATTTGCAGGCTGTTGATTTTAGTCTTAGAAAATAATATTTCCATCATTGCTTCATGATGAAACAGACAGGGAAAAATCACTATTCTTTTAATGCACAAATTGTTAAACATAAACAAATGTGTGATGTTCGGACTATTAATTAAACAGAGGGGTTAAGTTTGTCACTTTTTCCCAACATAATATTTTTATTGATTATTTGGGAATGTCACACAATGCACCCGATCACACTAACTTGCCTGTCTTCCCAGGTCTGCTTCCCCCCAAACTTTGTGACTGCCTCAAGTAAAAGAAGGAGAAGAAGCAAAAGATGGAGAAGGAGAAGGAGGAGAAAAACAAGTTCAATTTGCAATGCCTATATACTCACGGGAGCTAGAGCATGGTCAAATTCCTAGTGGTCAACCCCTTAAAAAAAACTGAGGCCTCCCCCCAAAAAAACCAAACCAAACCAAAACAAAACAAAAACAAAAAAACCCATATAGTTCAATTCATGTATGCTCTTGGGTGTGTGACATCGGCTGGAGAAGTCTGTTTAGGAGTTGGGTGGGAGACAGATGCCTTTGTTTGTCTTCTCCTTTCTCTGTTTCCAGGTTTCCAGCTCCCCACTTAGCCGGGTCTTCTAGAACTTGGGGTTCAGGATGCTGGCCTGGACTCTGGTGGGACAGGAGGCTTCCTCTGGGGTACAGTCCTGTCACTTTATTTTTACAAATATGCATTTAAAAAATTCTCTGAGTCCAATAGCAAGCCAAGCTCAACATCCCCCCACAAAAAGAACAAAAAATAACAACAAAACCCCCAAACCCAAACAAAAAACAAAAAACAAACCAAAAATAAAAACAAAAACAAAAAACTTTCTAGTTGGGGCTAAGCTATAAAAGTTTGTTAAAGTCTGTATTACTCTTGATTTGTGACAGTGACTCAAGGCATCAATTGTAAACCTTTGTTTTTCTAAAATAAAGTAATAAAAAACCTAAAATCACAAAAATAAAAGAAGCCTAAGGAGTTCCCTGCTCCACCAGAGTCCACCCTGTCACCCAGATCCCAGGGAAGCCTTCTGCCCACTGGACTACCAACACTTCTTCAGTGCTGCCCAGGCTGCGGCCAACAGCCCCCTTCTCGTCATCACCATATCCCAGGCCACACTGTGGTGATATATTATTTATGATTTAACAAAGCTTTCCTGAGAGTTCAGGATGCAAAAAAGCTACAAACTATAGACCCAGACAGTGCTGATACACACAGTTAGCCCCACCAGCCATACTGGTTAGCTATAAAAGGTAGGCAGTGGTGGCACCCACCTTTAATCCCAGGACTCAAGAGACAAGCAGATGGATCTCTGTTAGTTCAAGGCCACACTGAGCTACATTAAACTGATCTAGTCCTAACTAGAAACAGCTCACACAATGGTGTTCTCAGCACTTGGGATCACTTGCCTTTAATCCCAGCACTAGGGAGGTATAAACAGAAGAATCTAAGGGTCTTGTAGGAGAATTTGTCTCTAACCATGTTGAGGGTTTCATAGGAGAATTTGTCTCTAACCATGTGGAGGAGAGGCAGCATTCTGAGACTTCAGTATGAACTTGGTGGAGACAGGATTGCCATTTCAGCCTGAGGTAGAGGAAAGAGCTAGTGGCCAACTACTTTGCTTCTTTGATCTTAGCTTGGAGCTTGAAACCCAGTATCAGGATGGTTCTAAGTGATTTTCCAATGCTAGTTACCAAATGCAATGAAAGATCACAAAATAGCTTGAGGCCAAGTGGGGATATTCAACTACTTAATGATGATTTGGACTATATTGTGAAGGTCACTCACAGGTCAGTATTTGATAATTGGCCTCCAGTTGCTGGCATTGTTTTAGAAGCAGTGGAAATGTTTGGAAGTAGGGCACCAATGGTGGACACAGTGTCAGGTTATAGATAGACCACACTTTTGGTTAACTTTCTGTTACATGCCTGTTGATATGACCAGCTGCTTTTTTTCTCCAGCTAACATGGATAGGAGCAAATTTCACTACCATGTTTTCCCTATCATACTAGAATACTCTAGGGAGCTCTGAGCCCTGGGAAATTTTTCTTCTTTTTATTTGCTTATGTCAGGTATCTGGTCACATTGCTGAGAAAACAGCTGAGACAGGCAGTGAGGGATGCATAGAACAGAGAAGCACCAGATGGTGTGAGCTACTATGTGGTGCTGACATTCAACCCACACCCTCTGCAAGAGCAACAAGTGCTCCAAGCCACTGAGCCATCTCTCCAGCCCCAAGACTGCCTTAAGCTTTTCTGCTTAGTGAGTGACCATGACAGTCGGGGCTCTGAGATCTCTTCTCATTCATGATAATCTTATTTTGCAACATAAGAGGTGATTATAAAACAGGAAATGCCCCTGATCTTAAACTTTACAGTCCCTGAAGGGCTGGTCATTTCTGAGTAGTCCACTCTGTCTCTCCTCCATGCCCTAATGAACCCATAGCACTGTCCTCTCTCACAAATCTCCTCCAGGCATGCCAGGTCTGATACCTGGGTGTAGCCACCACTTTTCAGATCCTGGGGACAACTTCACTAAAGCACACAGAGGCATATCCTTTGGAGTTCTGTATGCTGCATCTTTGAAACCAACACCTGGCTCAATCACTACATTCTTTGAGTACTCTATGATGGAGTCACCTTCCCCTCTTACTTGTGACCACAAACCAGTTTGGCCTTCTTTTTTCATTTCCTACAAGGCTCTGAAAACATATAATAAAATTTTCTACAAAGCTCTGAAAAACATATTCACTGATTAGTCTCTCCTTGCCTGACTTCTATGGTGTAATGGCGCCCTCTTTGTACCACTATTCTATCTAGAACCTGGCCCTACAAAACGGACTCTATGTCATAAGAGCTGAATAATGCAGAAAACATATTACACAGATAATTGGTTATCGTTTTATATTTTTCAAAAGAATCTAAAAAACAGAAAACACAAAACCTATGTAAAGTGCTAAAATAAGTATCTATGAGGTAAAAATAAGACAATGGAATGTGGAATTACTGACCAAAAGCAACTAGAATTATAATAGTATAAAAATTCTATATCACTGTACCTAATGTGTACTTTAAAAATATAAATGTATTATGTGGACATATTTAATAGAAGTCAGAAATACAGATAATTGATGATTGTAATTTGTTCACTATGCAGATTTTCTCTTATGAGTCGATACTTATATTTGATGATTGTCTAATAGTTCCTCTGACATATCTCCGGAATGCTCTCAATGGGTGGATGTTACGAAGTTGGAATAAAAATGCTACAAAAATTAATCCCCCTAGCAGTACGGATGTTGCAACAGCAATAAGTATATGTCCTGGAAAAGGCAATGGTACTTCGTCGACATAAATCTAAAAAAGGAAAAGCAGAGTGGTTACATTTTCTGGATGTGGTAATGAAAACGCTAGACATCGTATGATCCCCACAATTAACCACACAGAAAAATTCAACCCACAATTTTGTTGACATTCAGCATCCTCTACCACCACACTCTCATTTTCGGCCACACCCTGTCCAAGCCTTATCCTGCACACAGATTCTGCCCACAGTTTTATCGTCATCCATAACTTGGATTGACAATTGTTGTGTCATTTTCTCAGTCATCATCTCATTTCATAGTTTATGCACTTACTATACCTGAAATTCTTCATGTAAGTCACAAAAGCTGACCCCAGGAATCACAGACACCTTGAAGTGAAACAGCTCAGAGCCCTGTGGAACAAACACAGATGGTGATTGTCAATGTGTGTATTCCTTTAGACAGAAATATCTATGGGAGCCACTTTATAAGGAGTGTCAAGGCCTTTGACATCAACATCACATATAAAATAAAGAGGTAGTAAAGCAGGAACTCAATGATGAAGTTTCATTTTCAGAATGAAATTAAAACATAAAACAATTTGGCTGTCATGAACACCCCTTTGAGTTAGCCTTTACATCTGTGACTTTTTTTGCAGATTTTTTATTTGAATTAGAAACAAGATTGTTTTACATGTCAATCCCAGTTCCCTCTCCCATCCCTCCACCCTTACCCCCCCCAACAAAAACCCTACATATCACATATCCTTTCTGCTCCCAGGGAGGGTGAGGCTTTCCATAGGGGGTCATCAGAGTCTATCATATCCTTTGGGATAGGGCCTAGGCCCCTCCCCCATGTGTCTTGGCTCAGGGAGTATCCCTCTATGTGGAATGGGATCCCAAAGCCCACACCTATGCTAGGGATAAGTACTGCATATCTGTGACTTTAACATGTCTCTGCATTTTCACACTTACCTGTGCTTTATGTATCCCTGTGATCCCTAACTTTTGCAAACAACTGCTCTACTTCCCTTTAGCCAGTTGATCTGGCCTATCTTTTAGAAAATACTAAATTAATGTTCTGTTCAACATTCAGATTTCTTTAGAAACAGGACAACCAGGGAATGGAGAAGAAAGAAATATTTTCTATATACTTTAAAGCTTCTAAATTCTCACCATTCACCAATATCTGAACTTGAAATCTTACTTTAGCATATGCATGCTTTCCTCTAAACTTTACGTGGTAAACATGAAAATGCTGGCAACTCACCCTTATACTTAGGTTGAGACCAAAAGGATTATACACTGGAGTCTTAAGCCTTGGATCTAAGTAGTCCTTCATTTTCTTAACATTTGCTGGCATATTGTGTTCTGAAACATACAAAATACATTTATAGGACACTTACATTTTCATGTTTTTATATACAGTAAGGTACAATGGAAGAGTCTATTGTGTGATGTTACTAAGGTAACTCTTGATCTTAGTATTGTTTGACTTTGTAAGTACCTTTAGAGTTCACTTTTAGTAAAGATACTTTAATATAGGTTTAGGCAGAAAGGCTAAGACAGAAAAAGAGACACTTAGAAGAAAGCAAAAATATATACCCCAGAGCATGGATATGGACATCTCAAAGAGTTACAGAAAATAAGACACACCCAAGGGTGGGTATGGCCTCATGAGAGAATTGCCTATTTTTATGAAGTGTCTTGTTCTTAGGGGCTGGAGAGAGGGTTGAGTGGTTAAGAACATTGTCTGCTGTTGTACAGGACCTACATTTGAGTCCCACCACCAAAATGGCAACTCCCAATCATCTGTAACTTCAATTCTAGGGACCTGATTGCTTCTTCTGGCCACTTGAAGGTACCAGGCATTCAAGTGATGTACACAGACATGCAGGAAAAACAACCACATTCATAAAAATTAATTTAAAATTCTGGTACTAGGGATTGAACTCCAGTTCCTTTTTCACACTAGACAACACTCTGCCACCAAACAACATCCTCACTTCTCTTCAGGGTGAATTAGATTAACACTTCTCATCAGGGGGGATTAGACTAATGACCTCGCATTTCTCCCATGCCCTCCTCTAGCAGGAGAGAGCATCTGACCACCTTGCTGCAGCTTCAGTTCTTCTTAGCCTCTGACTCATGAGAAACCCATCCTGACAGGTCATGGTTTGCATTTTTCATAGTGGTGGGTAAATGGCAGTAGAGTTGCAAAATAGGATCACTTAAGGGTTCTCCAGGGGAAGTAAACAAGTCTTCCCACTTACCTTGTCATTCTTTCTAAACCAGTGAGCCTATGTAGGTGTTATAAACTCTAGTGGTGTAGTGGTGAGAGGAGCTAACGAAAGTAATTCAATTCCAATGCTACACAAAGAAACCCTGTCTAGAAAAACCAAAAAAAGAAAAGAAAAGAAAGTAATGCAAGCCTGACTGTCTCATTAGCTAATTTCCATTGAGAATATGATCACTATGGCCAACTTAATATAAGAATCAGCTTGTAAAATGCTTCCGTTTTTAAAAGTCAACTCTCCAAACATGGTAAGAGCCACCAGGATATCACAGAAACTGTGAACATTTATTAGGGAACATGGGAACTTTACTTTGTTTCCTGGAGTTTTCACTTCAAGAAGGCATTAAATTGTACAGAGTATCTTTTCTGGAGAGAAAAGAGAAAGAGTAGATGGTGCATGGATGAGGAGAGATTGTGAGAAGGGACTGGGAGGAGAAGAGGGAGGGAGGGGAAACTGTGATCAGCTGGGGAAAGGAAACATTAAATAGAGAAAGAATTAAAAAATTAAGTTTGTCAGAATAAGACTCACTGACTACCGAATGTCTTCAAACTTAGTAATATAGTGATGGCTAATCAAAGCTTCAGTTGACTTCATCTTCCTACTTCACCAGACCTATCTGCATCTTCCTGACTTATTGTGGGGCAACACTGGGCATTGAACCTAAGGTTTCAAACATTGTAGGCACTGAGCTATAGCCCCAGCCTTTATACATCTGTCTGGCTGTATGTCTGTCTATCACCTGAAAATATTTACACATAAATAAGCACAAAACATGCAACTATAAGGTGTGTCTTTGAGGTAAAACTGAACTTATGTAAATTTCCTTTTGTATTGTAAAACATGTGTCTCTTTTCAGCTCTTTTACCACGACACCCCCACTCTCTTTCTTTTCGTTCTTTCTTCTTCTTGGGACAATATCTCATGTAGCCCAAGCTGATCCCATCTCACTATAGAACTGAAACTGGCCTTGAACTCTTGCCTCTGCCTACCAAGTGCCGGATTACAATTGTATACTACCACATTCAGCTAAAAAGAAATCTTTGAAAAACTTCACTTACACAATTAGAAACAAACCCTACAGAATATCCGGCAACACCTAGAACCTTCAGGTAACTGTGTCACAGTGAATAATAAAGACCCTCAATTGGTACACAGCACAAACTTAACCATTGCTGCTACTAATCTACAACTTGACTTTCAGAGTCATTTTTGTGCTATAAATCATTTGTTAAGGATTTATTTGTAATTATGTTTGTATGTGGGTATGTACATGCCCGGCAGACACAGGCATAGGGCACCCTGCAGCTGGAGTCACAGTTAAGTGAGCTGCTTGACATGGCTCTTCTGCAAGAGCAGTACACCCTTTTAACCACTGACCAGTCTCTCCAGCCCTGCAGTTCAAATCACAAATCTGGCCTTGTACCACTGAATCCAGGTTCCTGGAAGTGATGAGAACATAAAAGGAGATGGCATGTTCAATGTGAACATGCCAATGTTTCAAATCTTTTTCTTAAAAACTCCTGGCTATTTCCCATGTGAACAGGCATTGCAATCCACTCATTAAAAAAACAGTAATAATATAATGACTTGTAAGATAAGCATAGAAGTCAGAAAGCCATACTTAGTTGCCAGTTTTGCCTCCTATTCACTTCAGTCATGGTAACCAAATATGGAGGTTTCACAGATACTTTTTGTTTTTCATCAATAATTTCCAAAACAACTGGGTATTGTGTGACTGGAAACTTGAAACGATGAACCTAAAATACAAATTCCATAAATGCACATAATCTGTAAAAATCAATACCATCATACCTGGTCAAGAAACGAATGACATTGAATAGAACCTTGGCTATTCTTCGGGTCTCTGCCTTTCAGACATGAAAATAGTCCACCACAACAAAATCCATGCAAATTCCAAGACAGCAAACCTGGTAATGAAATACATAACTTTTAGAAGTAATGTTTAAATTTATTATACAACGTGATAGGTGTCATTATGGATTTTTCCATATTTATATAAAATTACCCTGGAGTTTTATTCTATAACTGTCATTTTACTTTAGTTTATTTTGCACTCCTCTTTCAAGTCCTATTCTTCTCCCAGATAGACCTCCCTTCTCCTTTTATGTCTCATGCATCCTCTTGTCTATCACCCCATTTAAGATCTCTCCAACCTCCTGAGTGCTCCCTTGTCTTCTTTCTACTCCCCCAATATAAATTTAAGCGTAGAGTCTTTGTATGCTTCTCTTCTAAGCCTGGCTTATTTCACTTAACATAATGATCTCCAGTCCTATCCATCTTCCCGAAAATGTCATGATTTTATGATTCTTTAAGGCTGAAAAGTACACTTGTACAATATATTGTTTATCCATGTGTTGATGTACATTTAAAATGGTTTCATTTCTTAGTTATTATAAGTACTGCAGTAAGAGACATGTATGTTTATGCATCTCTGGTGGTATAGTGACTAAGTTCTTTGGGCATATATCCAGGAGTTGCACAGCTGGTACTCTTACAAATTACATTAAGCTAAATTAATTTATTATAATATATGTTATTATTTTTAATTTGTGTGCAACTGCTCATGTGTGACATAGTGCTTGTGCATGTCAGAGGACAACTTGGAGAAGTAAAAGCTTTCTTTCCATGTGGATCCCAGAGACTGAACTCAGATTGTCAGACATAGTGAGAAATGCAACCGAAGACCCTATCCCTTGAGCCATCTCATTAATTCTGTTTTTAATATAAATTGTGGTCAGGGATTGTGATCCTTCCATCTCTGTTCTTTTTACTTACGATGCATTTGGCTATTTGAGTATTTGAGATATCTATGGATTTTTTGTATTGTTTTCCTATGTCTGCACAGAAAGTTATTGGAATTCTGATGGTGATTGCGTGAAGGTGTAGATTGCTTTGGGTGAGACAGCCGTTTCACAACCTTAAATGCATCTGTTCATGACCATGGCAGGCACTTCCATCTTTCAGTGTCTTCTTCAGTTTCATTATTAAGTTTTTTATTAAGAGACATTTATCTCTTTGGTTAGGTTTCTTTCCTCCCCCCCTCCCCCCTCTCATTCTGTCTTCAGATATTATAAATCAGACTTTTTCATCAGAAAGTTTGTTATTCATATATAGAAAAATAATGAGACCAACATGAACTACACAGTAAATGTCAGGACAGCCAGGACTGTACAGTGAAAAGTTATCTCAAAAGAAATCTTTTTGTGCTCATATGTATATGTGTTTGGGTAATTGTGCACTTGTGTGTTGGTGTCCATGTGTGTGGAAGGCAGGAGTCAATGTCCAACATTATCCACAAACATCGCACATATTATTTCTTGAGAAAGGGTCTCTCATTGAACCTGGACTTCAGTGATATGACTAGACTAGCTGGCCAGTAAAGCTCTGGGATCCTCCTATGTCTGTCTTGCCTCATGAGTGCCATCATGCTTAGGTGTTACGATAAATCTTTCTGCCAAAAGCTGCCAAGCCCCACTGCCACATGTGTGCTTTACGCCAGCTGCCTGCCCGAGTAAGGCCCAAATGAATACACAGAAACTTGTATTAGGTTCAAAGCTGCTTGGCCAATGACTAGGATTCTCATCTGTTAGCTCAGTCTCAATAGTCATAAACCTATATATTTTATAAGACTTATCGGACGCCTTATTGGCGTCCTCCCTTGCCGGTGGATCACATCCTGCCTCTGGAGGAGGCAAAGGGAAAAAAGGGACCCTTCCTGTTTCTCCTTTGCTTAAATATGAGTCTCCTTGCTATGTCACTTCCTGCCTGGATCACCACTTCTCTACTACATTTCCCAGAATCCTCTTTGACTCCTCGTCCTGCCTAACTTGCCGTTTCATTGGCCAAACAGTATTTTATTTAACAGTCAAGAAGATAAACATACACAGTACATTCCCTATCACTTAGGTTTTTTTTTTTTTTTTAATGTGGGTGCTGTAGAACTCCAGTTCTAGTCCTTGGAAGGAAAACATTTTATTGACTTAGCTACCTCCTAGATCATCCCCGATTATATTTATTTATTTGAGACAGGGTCTCACTATGTAGTTCTAGATAGCCTGGAACTTGTAACATAGACAACACTGGCCTTAGACTCCCAGAAATATGCCTGCCTCTGCCTCCCAAGTGCAGAAATTAAAGGTGTATTCCAAGAAACCCAGGGCTTTGTACATGCTAGACAGGCACTATACCATGAGCTAAGTCTCAGTCTTCCTCACTCTCTCTAAAGATACAGTCTTATATAGACAAGGCCAGCCTTGAATTTGCTATGGAGCCTTGAACTCCTAATCCTCCTGTATCCATCACCCTAAAGCTGTGTGTATAGGCATCAGCCACCAATGACTGGATTTGACCAGCTGTCACGTGAGGGTTCAATTGCCAATACCACTTTTAGATAGATGAGACGTCTGTCCCCTCCCTCCCTCCCTGCTGAGAAGTCATAGTTGTCCCTGCTTGTGACTTGGCTTCTTTTTATTATGTCACTCATCTTTTTCTTATTACTTTCCAGGTGTGGTTTGTGAATTCAGAACTTTTCTCCATTTTCTCTTTGGAAATGGAGTCTAATATTTCACTTGCTGACTTTTCTCCTTAACGAGGCCACACAGAGGTATTTTCTAGTCTGTCATCTCATCCAGAAATCCCCCAAACAACTTTTGTGCTGTGGAGGTCTGTCATGACAGGGCCTTGCAACACAGTCTAGGCTGGTCTGTAGCTCACTAGGTAGCCCATTCAGGCCTCAAACTCCTGGCAATGCCTCATCTCAGCTTTCCAGGCGTTGAGGCTACAAGTGTGTGTTACCATGCATGTTGAAATTCCTAACTTTCTGTTTTCCTTTTTTACAATGATTACTATGAAGAGATTTGACATATTTTGGCTAAAACTATTCTATGAAGCCCTCAGTCAATTTTTCTTGCCTGTCACTCTTATACCTTACCCTATGTCTCTGCTTGTCACACACTCACACACAGTTGGTAGCTAGGCTTGGGATTCAGCATTCAAACCCAACTTTGATGCCTGTGAACAGTATAGTTTTTGCAATGAATGGATAAGGAAAATGGGGTACATTTACAAAGTGGAGCATTACTAAGCTGAAAAAAAAAAACAACAAATAACCTCATGAAATTTGCAGGCAAACAGATGGAACTAGAAAAATTCTTTCTGAGCGAGGAAACCCAGACCCCAAAAGACAAATATGGTATTTACTTACTCATAAGTGGATATTCAGATTAAAGTATAGGATAACCATAGCCCCAGAGAGGATAGACAACAAGGAGGTTCCAAATAGAGACACATGGATTTCCAGGGTCAACTGTGGGTGGGTATAGGGGTAAATGGAATGGGAACTTAAGGGGGTTGGGTCCTGGATGGAGGGGGAGAGTAATGATATGGATGTCTTGATGGGGCTATATTGGATTAAGGTCTCTTTATTTCCAAGCACAGCCGGGTGAAACACAGGCCAGAGCTAGGTTAAGAACCCAGCCAGCGCGGCCAGAACAAAGAGAGCGCCCCGTCCCCATGTGCAGTCCCTTAAGAAGCCCCCTTTACGTCATCCCGGCTTTCCTTCACCCCGCCCTTATGGGCGAGTCCCCAGGTCCACCTGGTACCTGCCCCAGGACTATTGGGCGGGGCTAGGGTGACTCCCTACAATTCCCCTTTTAGTCTAAGAGAGGATTAAAACTTAATAGTGTAAAATATCCAAAACTAACAATCATAAGGGTGGAATACAAGAATATACAATAATCCGCTATGATACATCCTATGTCTATTCTAGCTAAGTCTTAAAGTCATGTGAAAAAAGTGTCTAACTTGAACACCTTCTTCCAATCCCAACTCTAAACAATAAGAAGGTTATTCTTAACTAGGCTTACACTACCCTAATACACAATAATGGGGAACGGGGGCGTAGCAGCTTCTAGGTTACTTCCTGCTGAAATGGAACGAAGATGGTCATTTTGTGGCTTTGTGGAAAAAAAAGTCAGTATAGGGAAAGTCTTTAATGAGTTATGTCTAGTCCATGTTATGTGATTTGTTTGATTGAAGATCTACGTTGAAATCCTCAACTTGATTGAAGTCGTTACTCGAGGTTCTGGTTGGAGTGTCAGTCGA